AATCATATTTCCGACGACGAAGAGTCAGAATGGCTTGCAAATATAGGTCCAAGTTCATTAGATGAATCGAACGAAGAAAAACAGCTTGACGACCAGAAATTTTTTCATTTAATGAAGAAAATAAAAACAGCAACACAACAACGCGCCAATTCCGTTCCTCTTCGCATACTTCTGCCACGCACTCCCCGTAAATAAACATCTGCGAAATTCGCCTGCACTGAAACAACAGTTTGGCGTGTTGGATAATAATTAACTTATTAAAAGTTTTGTTGTGTAGTATCGCTGAGTATTTTTACTCGTTATTTGTATTTTGACGAGCCCGCAGGGCGAGTCAAAATACGGCACAAGTCGTAAAAATACTCAGCGATACTACACAACAAAACGTCTAATAAGATATATATATCCGCTTAACTAAGAATAATTAGCTTAAAACCTTGGAATATAGATTCACACATATGTTTCATATGTTTGTTGTTGTTTAATATAGATTTTGTTTGTATCTTTGTCCTTCGTTCAACTATTCTTTAAATGGACACATTCCTTCATCCGAAAAAATTTATTTCTTTACCACACACTTGCGTGTAACGAAAGCTGAGAGGTTTCCACAGACTCTGACGATCAGTGCTAAAACCAAACAGAACTTCAAAAAGGTTAATTTTCATTATCGGGTGCGCAGTATTCCTCAAAAATTGGCCGTAGAACCTCCGGCAAAGACTTGACCTCAGAAACAGCCAACACTTCACGATCTTTGTAATCAAATCCTGGCGACATCTTCTCTGATATCAAAGAGAAAGGTATCTCATCGGGAAACTTTTCGTATTGGCGCGATTCATCAAGCAAAATTTTGGCCGCTTTCAAACAGCCACCAGGTACAGTCAGGCGAGGAACATGGCCTTTCAAAACGTCGTTACCCAAGATAAACTCTTCAACTTTTCCCTCTGGTGTCATAACAGTATATTTGGCCGGCCATCCGTCGTGGAAAAAATGTGTTATGTCACTTTTATTTCGGTGAGGATAGTTTTTGCCTCCAAGTTCAGAAGTCATAAGGTAATAAATAGTTGTAAACAAGTTCCTCTCTGTTCCCTCTTGGTCTTTAATCATCTCAGGGGATCGATAGGTTTCCACAAAGAAGCCTCCCTCTTCAGAAAGGGGAATCAAACCCAACTTTTCAATATAAACGTCTTTTCTGTGACTCATTCTTTTTTCTTAGGCGGACGAAATAGCGAATATTTATGGATCACGATCGACAGGTCAAGAGACTATTGTAAAAGTTGCCTTCCTACGAGTACATGCGTGAATGACTTTGCTGGAAAGTGAATAATTATTGTTTCTGATTCTAATAAGTACTAAATTAAAACGAGGAATGGAATAGAAGTTCTAAACCAAGGAAAACGGAAGGAAGACCAGAGATGGACGAAAATTACAACTTTCATCTCTACTCATTTCATCAATCAGTCATTGATGAGACATGGTTTGATGCTACTGTGGTTTAAAGATTTAATGAATGTATAACCGAAATTACGATTCATCGATTCAACGTTCGACACTCCCGTCAAGTGTCTTTAACAGGGGTGATCTCATTGTTGCAACAAGAGGCCCTCACCAATTAGCTGCCCTTTTTTCTGACGAGGCGTAAATAAGCGTCCGGTAGTAAGCCGCCATCATCACGCGTACGATTTAAAGTGGCGGAGTTGATATGCCAAGCTTCCAAAGGCGCTGGTGGTAGCAGCGATTAGTGGTGATAATTTTAGAATTATCCCAGCCAATTGTATGGTTAGTTAGGCATGTGCGCCCCGACAGAGTTGAATTTTCTTTTTGGCAAAAGAAGACCGCTTTCTGATGCTCTTTCAAACGTGTAGCAAACTGAAGTTTGGTCCGGCTCAGTCCGATATACTCGTGATCACAGTCAACACCTTGCAATTCGTACCGTCAATAGCTGTGTCTAATGTAATGAGTTTGGCGCCAAAAATAGACGAACTTCGTATTTTTTTGAACACCCACAACTTTGATCTTTGTTGTATAACGGAGACATGGCTGAAAGATTCTATTGATGACAGCGTAGTTGACATTAGTGGCTACAACATTATACGCAAAGATAGGACCCACAGGCTACATGGGGGTGTGGCTCTATATGTAGAAGATTCCATCAAATTCTCAATTCTACGGGACTATGAGTTCCCTGACCCCGAGGGCCCTGAGGTTTTGTGGGCCAAGATCACGCCCAACCGATTGCCTCGGGGTTATAGCTGCCTTATCATTGGTACAGTATACCATCCTCCACCACCTGCCAAAGATGAGCCCCTCCTTGATTACATGATGGATTCTCTCTCTAGGATAGAGAGTGATATCCCTGGCGCAGGTATAATTCTCGCTGGCGACTGGAACAGGGCAAATGTTTCACCAGTTATTAAGCAGTTCCGCCTCACGCAAGTCGTCCATTTTCCAACAAGAGGGAATCGTACACTCGACAAAGTGTTAACTAATCTTACAGAACACTACGAGAAACCTTCTCCATTCCCGCCATTCGGACTATCCGATCATTGTACNTAGAGTTTCCTTTAAAACAAATCGGTTCAGAGATACTTTCATTCCGGCAAGCGCAAGACATTTTAACTAACATTTATTACAATTGTATATGTAAATTAGTTCCCTTTTAGGTTTGATTTTATTGTATAGTTCTATTACATAATTTGTACACCTTTGCAATTCAGCTTCCAGCTGCTATTAAGGTATTCTTCTCAATAAACGTCTATCCAAACGTCTATCATTGTACAGAACAGAATAAATAGCATCGGTTCGTTGTTCTTTCGTAACAGGATCTTTAGATTTGGAAAAAATATGCCCAAAGTCTGAAAAGGTTTTTTCAGCAACTTTAACGTTGTAGATGTTCAAAATTCGGCTCATCCTCAGTGTAAAAACCTGTGAAGCTCACGACTAACGTAAAACAAAGACAACAAAACTTTATAAACAATAGCGTACAGCAAAACAATACCTCATGAAACAAAGTAAACCTCGTCAGGTTTTTACACCGAGGATGACCCCAAAATTCTCACGATGGGCTCCCTAACGCCCTGGATGTAAGGAATAACAGCATAATTCGCTGCGGGTTCATTCTCATCAGGAGTGTTACTAGTTGTAACTGGTTTCTGGCAATTACGGAGAAATGTTTTGGTACAGCCATTTACCTCTAAGATATCGGAACATATTTTCTCTCCTCAACATTGGAATCAAGCGAAGACGGTAGACAGTCAGCCCTCATGGGTAAACTTTTAGCTACGGATTTTTTATGGCAAAGAGGCTGCCGCCGCCGCCGCTGTCGCCGCCGCGATTTACCTTTTGTCAGCTCCCGTCGCTAATAAGAGAAAAAGCGTAGACAGTTTATAAAGTACTAGCCTAAGAACAAGAGACTACGAGTTCATATATTCTCTTAACTTGGAATAAATAGTATAAAACCTTGGAAAATAGATTTTTTTTGCCATTCACTTGAGTGTAATGAAAGCCGAAAGGTTTCCACGAACGCTGACGATCAGTGCTAAAATCAAATAGAACTTCAAAAAGTTTAGTTTTCATTATCGGGTGCGCAGTATTCCTCGAAAATTGGCCGTAGAACCTCCGGCAAAGACTTGACCTCAGAAGCAGCCAACACTTCACGATATTTGTAATCAAATCCTGGCGACATCTTCTCTGATATCAAAGAGAAAGGTATCTCATCGGGAAACTTTTCGTACTGGCGCGATTCATCAAGCAAAATTTTGGCCGCTTTCAAACAGCCACCAGGTACAGTCAGGCGAGGAACATGGCCTTTCAAAACGTCGTTACCCAAGATAAACTCTTCAACTTTTCCCTCTGGTGTCATAACAATATATTTGGCAGGCCATCCGTCGTAGAAAAAACTGTGTTATGTCACTTTTTTTTCAGTGAGGATAGTTTTTGCCTCCAAGTTCAGAAGTCAAAAGATAATAAATTGTTGTAAACAAGTTCCCCTTTGCTCCTTCTCGGTCTTTCAATTGAATCATCTCAGGGGGATCGATAGGTTTCCACAAAGAAGCCTCCCTCTTCAGAAAGGAGAATCAAACCCAACTTTTGAACATAAGTATCTTTCCTGTGACTCATTCTTTTTTTTGTAATGTTTTGCTGCGCGAGACGTGCGTCATGATCTTTTAAAACAGTGCAAGTATTGTCACAGTCAGGACTACCCTCGAGTACATACGTCAATAACTTTGCTTCAAAGTGAAAATTAGCTTTTCGCTTAAGTTTTTCTGTTACACGACTGTACTAATACTGCATTCAAATTAATCCTGGGATTGGCCGAGCCTGTATCGGGTCGCTCACGGGGCATGTTGGTTCGCGCGGCCTTCATCTTTATTGTTGTTGTATGAGACGCAGAGACAAAAAGGCTTAGCCAATTCTTTTAAAGTTGTACGTTCGCAAATCTTTTTTTCTTTCCATGATGGGCCGAGAAGATCTTTGACGGATCTGTGTGGGGATGTGAAATTCACCATGCATGGACATCCCGAAAGGTACAAAATTTTAACGAAAACCTTTCTTTTCCAATTGGTGGGTTCGGGCCTAAAATTAACTGACAAAAATGATTGACACCCAACATCACTATCGACTAAGGTGCTCAGTGCCACAGCCACAGAAACCTCACGGTCAGCCAGAACTACACAAATCTGGTATCCTGATGCGACCTACTGTACCGTACAGTGGTTCTCCTACACACTAACTCACCAAGTATCTGACGACAATGTTACAACCACTGACAACAAGCGCATACCCAAGCTACAATTCACTGAGGACATTAACGCCAACTCGAATAAGCTTCCCCCACCCCCCCCTACCTTTTCGACCTTAGCCAAAAGAGCAACCATAAGGCCAAAACAAGATTATCGATCAAATATGCTGGGCGCAAATTTACCAGAGCCAGCAAAACTAGCCCTTTCAAAACAAGCTCTCCAGTGATAACTTCGTGTTAGGCCTTTTCTGAAGGCGAGTGTGTTGCAAGTGAGAGAGCGGTACACAAACCACGCTTTAACATTAAATAAGGATAGAAAAATTTCCTGCCGACTTTTGTAACCCCGACAGATCATAGTGACGAGGTCCACACGAAGGAAAGGAATTGTTTCACTGGATCGATGAGCTCACAATTCTTTGCAGATGTCGTGCTTAGTGCGCGTCAATGCATGCAAGTTGGGTTGATTCCCATTGCTAACATAGCACGCTAACATAGTTTTTTTTTAATAAAAAAAAGTGCGCAAAAGGAGCGTTCAGTTTTAGCTGTTTGCTGATGTCGTAAATGCAACGCTCGAAGTCACTATCGTTCTATTCTTTTGTACCAATAATTTTACGTTAATTTCCCTTTTGTAAGTCAGAAACGCGTTGTTTATCATTATTGATGTGATCTGTGCGATGCAGATTTTGTCGGCTACACGTCTCAGCACCTTTTTCAACGCATTGCTGAACAAGAATTCGGCCACTGGCAAGCATACTCTATGGCGCACGGTAGGTGTGATCTCAAGACATGCCTATTTAAGATTCTTAGAAAATGTAAAACTGAGTTTGATTGCGTGGTATTTGAAATACTCTTCATCAAGCAACTCAAACCTAAGTTGAACGTCGAAGCGGACTCCATACGCACTTAAGTTTCTATTTAGTTTTTTAGCTATTCATTGTTTTTAATGTTTTTAACCAGTACCTATTGCTATTTTAGCATTTAAGCCTCATATACTCGCATTAATCTTGACATGATAATGGTGTTATGTGAACGTGGAAACGTCGTCAACTAGCTTTCTTAGCCTTTTTCAAATGCATTTCATAGTTTTAGACATATTTCATCGGAATTTTTTATCGTCAAATTTCTCCTTTGACCACCTTTTGGCTGTTTGCCTCAGTGGCCGGGACCATTGCAGACTGTATTCCTGCACTACATCCTTTAACCACATGATCTCTGAGCTAATAGAGTTCTCTTTAAGACATTTCTTTCTTTGCCAATTGCAATGTCCAATTTTTTAACTCGGGGATATGCGAAGCATAGGAACGAGTAATGTGGGGATTCACTAGGCAACTGAATTACGTTGTGTTGCACGCCTAAGGAGTCTATGGATGGCATGCAGCTTATTAAGGACAATTAGGAAGGGCTTCTGCGGGATGATATTTCAATTCACAGGATCATAGGCTTTTAGCACAATTTCTGTACAATCTAATAAGGTATGTCTCAGAGTTCATTATAGTGTCACTTTGATTAGGACTAAAACAACAGACATGTTGCCAGGTTTCTTAGTTTTATTGCATTTGACAGGCAAACAAGTGATTCATGAAAAAGTGACGCACGTTGGTAAAAACTTATCCACAAAGAACATAATAATTACATGAAGTGACCACTACTTTCAAAGTCCTTCAGAGAAAAGTCGAGATTGAACAAAATTGCGATCAACATATGAAATACCTGTGGGTCATCATTTACAAAACCTTTCAAATGGGCTATCATTTTTTCATTCGTTTGACAAAAACAGTATCTCAGCTCTATACTGTTTATGAAACAGGAAGAATGGACGAAACAACTTTCCTTACAGAAAAAAACGCCCGCCAATGTCTTGCACGCTTACCTATATAAATTGTACGCTTACCTATATAAACGTAATATCATCTTTAAATTCTTCAATTTGAGTCTTAAAAAAATCTAACCGTGGGTACAAAATGGCAACGGCGTATATAAAATCTCGTGTGGGAAAAAGTCTCCAATTCTTTACTCTTGACAAGTTATTAACAAAGTTCACGCACATTGAAGACATGCATATTAATTGTGTTTCTCAGGCTCGTTAAGCCATTTTTTGAAATTCCCCTTTTCTTGCTTACACTTTGTGTGTGGTTAGCTGTTGCGTTAGCGCAACAATTTTCCAGCTGCATTTCAATTTTGCAACACTAGAACTATTGAACCACAAAAACTGATTTGACGCCCACTCCATTTATAGTCTTTTTCATTAAATATACTTTCTTAAAATGGAAACATCATGGTCATAAAACCACCTCAAAGTTCTTATTCAATAAAACTGCAAATCTCTTTCTTAGCAATGGTAGCAATTGACGTTTTCTTAAAATAACTGTCCTTAAACCATACGTTTGCTGAACCACTGAGAAGATATTCTCGACAGTAAAAATGTCCACTTTTGCCAGGCTTCAAAATGAAAATGTGAACACACGAACAAAACATTGGCGACCTGCCAACATATTTGTACAAGTTAACCACGGGCCAGGATTTCTTCACCTTCACAGAATTGGAATTTTTCATCTTTCAAGTCAACTATCGTATTCATCGGTCGTAAATCTCTTTCCTAAAGACCCATCGATCCGCTTGACAGTGCTGGTCGGCGGTAGAGTGATGACATTCCACAGATAAATAAGGTAGACGAGGTGTAATTTATAGTCACATTCGGGCCAGACTAAAATCTGAAAATGTAAACAAAGGACACAACTCGTTCGAGCCACGCATTCAATACCAGAAGACTCATATTCTTAGGAGGTCAGTGTCTTGATCTGGCAGACAGTCATCCATTTGAAACAGCGCACTGAACGCCAACAAACAGTCAGATTCTTTCCAAGTAATATTCTGTCCATAACGTCTTCCTCCCTTTGCACAGTTTTAGATTCCAGTCTCGATCGGGTGTGACGCTTGCAAATACAATGCACTGCCAACTCGTGGTTCATATGCAAGTTTGACAAAGTGGCAATTTCCTGGACAGCCCTAAAATCAAAAGTAGCGTACTACAATGATCCTCTCTGGCAATGTCTGTCTGAGTTGAAGGCCACACACTGCTATCCTACCGTGTAGACACAAGATACTCATTTCATTCGACAATACAGTCTCTGCCATCAAATGGTAGCTTACAATAACATGTAGTCAGGATGAAGGCATGCAGAAAGGGAGAAGTAAACTCGCTAAAACACCTAGAAAATAAGTGATTTATGGTGCACTTTAACCTTCGCTGTTCTGTGATGTAGCATTTCCCTATCATTATCCAACAAGGTTTGTCCACCTTTGTCCACCAAACCGCTGAAAAAGTAATTTGTTTCGAGAAGTTTTTAAAATCACTTGGAAAGTTTTGGCATTCAACTGCTGCAGGCCGGAGAATACACAAGAATCCTTTTCTCTCACTAAAATGACGTCGAGAAAATAGTGTTAAGCTGCCCTAGTTTTTGTGGCTCTCAGCTTAAGTTTTCTCTGTAAAAGGGCGTTCTTGAAACCAGTCAACACTTGGCTTTTGAGGAGCAAATATGGAGAACTCGAACATGATTCGTTAAAAGCTATTTAGGAATCTAACTTAAAAGGTAGCATGGCAGCTGTCTTCGTGAACATAACTTAACTCCTTCTTTGCTAGTCTTGCGCATCCAATCATTTGCTCCATGATTTATTTTCATCCATGCTTGTAACTCGACGCTACCGTTTGAGATTCCAAACCGACTCGCTCTTTATTTCAGTACTGCGCCCCATTTCCACGAGATTTTTAACCCGTTCTTAGTGTCCTTCAAATTGATTCCCTAGGTCTATTGATTTATCATTTCATCCAGTTCCATGAGTAAGTCGTCTTCGTTCAGCTCGAAACTATCCCCCGCAACACCATCGTCTTCTCCCAAATCGATATCGGCGCCGAACTCATCGAAGAAGTCGTCCTTCTTAGCCATTTCGTTTGCTCTGTAGAAAGAGATTGAGTTGGGAATGAATTGGGAGTTAAGATAATAGTTTCAGGGACCAAGGTAGATGAAGCATGCCGGCTGGATCAGAAATTCAAGGAAACGCAGTGGCTTAAACCCTTAAACACTACCATCGGTATGGATGAAGCTCACGATTGTTAAAAAACAAATTCTCCTTATCAGCCCCCCAGGAAATGTGTAGAGAACAGTATGGAGAATATGCATACAGATGTTAGGGTGGAAAGGGTTAACCTGCCGCGTCTCCCGACCTCTCAATGGCTAGATTCCAGAAGAAACTCTGGCAACATGAGTGAAACTTCAAATGTTCGATGTACATCGAACATTATACCGCCACCCGGTTAGCTCAATGGATAGAGCGCTGGACTGTTGTGCGGGAGGTCGAGGGTTCGAGCCCCGGCCGGACCAACACTCAGGGTCTTAAAATAATTAAGAGGAATATGCTACCTTTCTATAACATCAAGAAATGGTTAAATATTCTAGTCTTCTCGGATAGGGACGAATAAATGGAGGTCCCGTCTCCTGCAGGGTTACGGGCAGGAAACGTTAATTTCCCACGCACGAGATTACTGTGTGATGGATGTCCTCCCCTGGGGTGGGATGGGTGGTTAACAGGACCCCCGTTGATACCAGTGATTACTACCCTGAAGGGGCTATCCTGTATAAATATAGATGTCTACTCTACTCTACTACTCATCAACAAATTGACAACAACATATGAAGTACAAACATGTACACTTCACTCACATTGCCTGTTTAATCTCGTCATAAGATGGCGGTTCCTTTGAACCTTTTGGTTCACTCGGCTGGTATTCCATGGGTGGCTCTGTATCTTCCATATCATGTTGCTCTGAAGGAGATATGCATCAACCTTCTCATAAGTAATAGACCACTTTCGTAAATGGCTGCCGTATAAATATTCTTTTGTTTAAATTTAAATTAGCCCTACTGGCCTCGCTTGAGATAATGTATTCTTTTGAATTTTGTACTGGAGAACGAGGCCAGTAGGGCTAATTTAAATTTAAACAAAAGAATATTAATCCGGCAGCCATTTATGAAAGTGGTCTATACTCAAAGCATACAAAGATCAAAGAGAGTTAACTAAACGAGTGTGTTGTGACTCAATTTTACCCTTGCTTGATACTGAGCTTATCTTCTTTTGTATTTGGCAAGGTAACATGTGACAGAGGTCACCAGTAGTCTACCGTTCCCTATAAGATCTCTTACCGCTATCTCTTGTGCCCACGCGCGGGCTCTTATGTTTTGCCTCTTACTCGGGCACACCACCTATTGCAGCACCAACAGCCGCTTATGGAAAACTTATTTAAAACCCTGTTAGAGGGTTTGAAACAAGTAGACAATGGGAAAAACAAAATAAAAAACTCTATCGAGATCAAATCCACATAAAAACTGTCCATAGCCTTGAAACACTTCTAATTGAAAAGGGAACTACACACGGACATGTGACTACTGCAAGAAGCGCTTTACCTGAAAGTGAATGTTGAGGTTTCTCAGGACTGTCTAGTACCTCTTCAGGTTCCTGTAAAAAAAAGCAAGCGTTAATCATAGGCTTTCTTAGAGCATCAAATCAAAATTCAAGTAACTCTTTCAAGATCTCATAACTAATTCTCCTTACTTTCTGCCATACGATTCTTAAGATGTTACTGCGTTATGAGAGCAGAAATATTCCTAGGCGCTTCTTGCTACGAAAACCGGAGTTAAGCGCCGGTCTGATGGACCACTTGGCTCGTAAACAGACTTAACTTTTTTTTTTTTTTTCATGAAAATTTGGTAGAAGATTAACTAATAATCCCCTTATTGATAATTTCCTTTACTCTCATCTTTTGTCTGCTTGAAATCGTATTGATATTATAAGAAAAAATTCTTTCTCGATCACTCATGGAACTTAAAAGGGTTAACAAGGTATCCGACAAGGGAAGGTAACAATGACTTGAGCATTAACACCAGAATTACCTGAGTTATTTGAGTTATCTTTGAACGAAAATCCTCCGCTTCTACCGCGACTGTATTAACACCGAATTCGCAAATAGCGGCACCCGCTTCCACATCAGAAGCAGCAGTACTAAAGCTACCATCTTTATTAGGAATTCTCTGATCAGGAGCAGGCCTTTGATCTTTCACTGATGCATCCGCTGGTCTAAGCTGTGATTCAGCCAGAGCAGGCTCAGATTGAAATGCAGGTAGCTTTACTGCCTCGATGTCAATTTGTACAGCTTGTTCCCGTGATTCCTGATCCTTATGAGTTTCTTCAACTGTGCTGCTGCTTACAGAATCTAGATAAAATAAAATACACAGTTCGCATGTTTGATTACTCTCACAATATATAAATGCAATTCAGAGCGTCTTTCGAATGAGTGTCATAAAACAAAAACTAGACTAATCACACTAGCCAATAAGAACAAAGGAACTATCACAAAAAGCCAATAGCAACAGACTCTGTAAAGCGCGGGAAAACCCAAGTGATCAAGTCGCGATTAGTTTTAGTTTTAACCTGTTTGGTTGAAAAAGTGGCGCCAGTTTTCTGAACCAATCACATGGCGACGCCAAGCAAAACCAAATCAATGCCAGATTGATTTCGACACTCGATTTAAAATTACTCAGATCACTAATCTTTTGTTTATTCAAATTTACGTTTCGATCATGTCAGCCATCATTTCTACACTTCTTTTCGAGACAACTTCCATAAAATACAACAACATTAAGTAGACCGCTTGGAAGCTGTTAAATAACACTTGAGTGGTAAAGTGCAAAAAAACTTCACAAACCAAATTTATTTGAAGAGACAATTATGTACGGTTCAAATCTGATTTCAAAAATGTTAAGCTGTGATTTATAAAATGGAAAGGCACCTCACCTTCTGTGGACTTCTGTTTATTGGTTCCCTGACCCCAGACCTTGATTCTTCTTGGTTTTATAACAGGAACTGAAATTCAAATTGAATTTTGGTCACGGTTTCGCTTTCCCTAAAGTAACCCATCAAAATTAAATACGTATATGCACAACACACCATATTTTGGCAAGTTTCGTTTCATATTTTACTGGTGGTAAGTGACTTTAGAGATGAATCCACATTGTAAGGAAAAGTAAGTTTTGTTGCATGTACCATCGCACAATCTTTGTCAGACTTCAAATACAATCCTGGAAACATCTGCATTTTTTTTTAATCTCACCTGAAACTCTCTTTAAAGGCTTCCTCTCTTGGTTTCTCCGCGGAGAATTATTGAGTCCTCTCTCTTCTTCTCCAGCAACTTCGCTGTCCTTTGGAGCTTCAGCACGTTCCTGAGATGCACGCTGCCTCTTCTCAGACATTATTTCATCTCGGCTTTTCACTCTGACTTTCTGTTGTCCAAGACATTCGGCTGCTGCAGCCTGCTGAGAAATTGCCAAGTAACTTTTTTATTCTAGACTTTTCCTAAGAATTAAGATTAACCCTTTTAAAAACAACTCGAGTGAACAGTGACGTGACAAAACTGAGAAGCTTATTCCCAACCTGCGGACACGCTCTTACTGTTCAGCAGCGCTGCCATACGCGCGTTTTTGTGCGCACGGGGAGATTTGAGACGAGTAAGGCGTTCTGGTAGAGAGCAGAACTCTCGCCAGCTCACTTTGTTCAAGAAGGGCCCATTTGCAGGTTACCTCGTTCCCCGCTGACATAGTAGCTTTAAACAAGGAACACTTTTTGTTGAAGGTCTTACCTTTCTGTGTGTTACTTTCTCTGTTTTATTCCTTTTTTTTTGTTCTTCTACCACCATGTTTAAACACTTTTAAAGCTATTTGACTCATCCAGTTTACCTCTGTCAGTGTCTATGTAGCAATTTTCATTCTCTCACAAAAACTTTACAACCGTGATCAACAACACAACCTAAGAAGTTGCCGAGCTTTCTAAACCCAGCTTGTCGAATCAGGGCTGTCAAGCAAAGAAGGTTACCTTTTTCAAACTAGCTTTCGGTGGCTTATTCTCTCCATTAGAAGCAGTGGATGTAACATCTGTTAAAGAACGAGAAAAGAGAACTAACGTAAGGTATAACAGTTTCCCATGCATTCGACACTATGCATCAACTTTTTACTTCAGTTTCTTTAAATTGATTTTTCAGATGCGATAACACTTTCTACTATGTGAGAGCACTCCAAGCAGCAACTGTTTTACTCGCCATGTTGACTGGAGAAAAATTTTGGTGACAAAACAGTCTTATAGGTAGGTACTATGGGACATGGCCAATCAGCCTTAAGGATTATGTGCCATGTGGTATAAATAGACCAATCATCTTGGAGGGGAACCCGGCCTTAAAATAAGTCTACGTGCTACATAACCCTTGAAGCTGATTGGCTACGTGCCTTGAATACTACTCAAATCATACCATTTTCTTTGCTGTCTTTACTTGAACTTGGTTTGTCCATGACGTACACTGTTCTTTTCCTCCTGTTTTCTACTTTGTTATCAGTATCTGCGGCAGATGACGAAACAACCTTTGTATCTTTGTCGCTATCCTCAGAAGATTTCCGAACCAATCTTTTTAATCTCTTAGGTGGAATCGATGTCACAATCGCAGTGCTGCTGTTTACCTGTTCGGTCAATTCTCCACCTAAATCTTGCACAGAATCTCTAGCACCTTCTTGTTCAGCTTTCCTTTTCCGTTTTTCTTGCATTATTTCCTCAAACGATTTCACTCTCACTTCTTGAAAGGGCGAAGGAGGTTCATTAGTAGTTACTTTCTCATTCACGTTTTCGTTCTCTTCAGAATTTGCAGAAACCCTTTTAGTCTGAGTTACCTCTTCAGAAGATGAATCTGCAGTACTACTACTTTTGCTGTCAATAAAATTCTTTTTCAAACCGACAACTTTTTTGACAGGGGATCTCTTTTTTTCATTCAAGGACACCTTTCTTGCAACGGATGGTTTTTCAAATGATGGTTCTACACTGTTACTGTCTTTCTCATCGAACAAATGTTTAGCATTGCTTTCAGACTCCAAAACAACACTCTCTTCTTCCTCAGACTTGTTGGCGCCTTCACCTTTGCCCATATTTTCTTCTTCTCGTTCTTCTTTACCATCTTCAGCTTCTTTCTGCTCTTCAATTTTTGCTTGCGCTCTTCTCTCTTCAAGTTTCTTTAGTGCTTTCTCGCGCAGTATCTCCTCCAAGGTTTTAACCTTGAAGCCTGGACTGCTCTCATCTTTTGCCATGTCCTCCTTCTCTGTTTTTTCTTCATTTTTTTCATCCTGCGATGGGCTCGTCTTTCTCCTCTGTCTTTCTATATTATCCTTTCTTTCCTTTTCCTCCGTTTCTTTATCAGATCTTCGTGATGGTCTCCTCCTGTCTCTTGACTTCTCCCGTTCTGCATCTACACACAAAATTCAACAATACGTAAAAACGTATAATTATATATCAGTGGTTCGAATCCCGTACAGGCCTGAATTTTTTTTCAGGTCTGATTTTCACTATTGCTCAAATAGTGCTTTACTGCGAAGGATCGTGCATATATAGGTTTCATAACCGCAGTTCATACATATGTTTCATATGTTTGTTGTTGTTTGAATACGTAAAAATATTAAAACAAAGAGGTAATAACAAAAATATATTAGAGCGTAAAGGGCTAATACCTGTACAATCCTTTTTTCTGTCTTTTGATCCATCTAGTCTTCTGCGATCTCCAGTCCTGTACCCTTAAAAAGAAAAAAAAAATTATAAACGGTTGTTAAAGCACTCATTGGTGAAATGTTTTAAACCCCAAACCAAACTAGTTACAACATGCATTCAAATCCAAAGTGCAAAGTCAGTAGGAGCAAATTAGTGTACACAAACTCAAAGTGGATGATGTAGGCAAACTCAAGAATAGGACAAATGAATAAAAGGGGTAAGTTTCTAAAAAAAAGCATGCTGCTGCATTGGTGGGGGTAACAAGGTAATTTGGTTTTATCAACTGAGTTGATAATGTAACTTGGCCACCTTAAAGAGTGTCAAAGCTCATGTTTTGAGTGTTAGCCCTTTGTCAGAGCAAAATGAATCATCAGAGCGAAGCCTTTGCTCTGACGAAGGGCTAATGCTTGAAATGCGAGCTTTGAAAGCCTTTATGGTGGCCAATTTACATTTTCAACTCAGTTGATAAAATCCAATTATCAAGAGTAGAACACTGAGAGGGACTAAGATGAAACTGGTTTGGCTTTTCTTCTGTCTGACAGAAAAGATGGCATACAATTCTCAATCTATCAAAGATTAAGCTGAATAATTGCAATCCTGTCTTTCTATTAGGCTTTGCCAGTAAGCATAAACAAAGAAAAGAAAATGACACTGAAAAATAAATAGTGTACATAAAAAGTGTGGTTTAAATTGCTGCTTTGTCATGGAACTGGCCTACCAAACCTCAAGGCCATACATGACCCCCTGACCTCTGTGAGGATGGCAGAGTGTTTCATACATTTGTTGTATAACTTACTCTCACGACCACACATGGCCTCTAACTTTCATGAGGAAGGTGAAGTGTCTCCTAAATTTTTTGTATAACTTACTCTCACGACTTGGTTTATTGGATTGTTGTTTCCTGTTACTATGTATATCTCTCCGGTTACTAGAGAAGACTTCTCTTTGTGAACTATTGCGCACTTTCCGAAGGGATGTCTGGTGTGATTTTCTCCTTTCATCGTCACTTTCACTACTGGAGTAGGAGTCTGAATCTAAAGATACACACAAATCTCACTTTCTTGCTTTCTCATTCTTTGATATCTATGTGCTCTTCCTAGCATCTCCTTGCAACACTTGTAGTGTCTATTGTGTTATTTGTGCATAGCTTTAGAATAGAATAGATAGTTTATTCTGATTAAAATCACAGCCAAAAGCTGAATTAGATTAATCCTTACCATAGTAAAATCTAATAAAAGTATGAGAAAAATATAAGAAAAATGTGCACAAACTAACTACAATTACTATATAATTATAAATGTGTTCACAAGTCTCTTCGTCTTGGCCAGAGGAACATTGAATTTCCTCTTTTCTCTCAAATTGAGTTCACAGTTGTTATGAGGAGGCAAGAGCTTATACAATTTATGGTCTGAGTTACAAGTGATGGAATAAAAAAGCTAGTTGTGATAGACTGCCTGCATTGGGGGAGCATCTCCAAGTTGGCTTGATTTAATGCGTCGCTATATGGAACAAACGGAAAAATAATTTGCATGGCACGTTTCTGTAGCTCTTCTAAGTCAACACATAAGTATGCGGGAAGCGCGTTTACTTTTGAACGGTACCAACTTGGTCCATGTGCTATTGGAAATGTATCGTGTCTTCTGGAATATTCATATTTCTTGTTGATTATCCTTTTTTTAAATGAGAAAGTTTTTTTTCAAGCTATTGAATGATAGCCCATAACATTTCAATCCAAGTTACTACATGTGAATTACTGATATGATACCTTGACGGTCAAATCTGTCCTCTTGAAAACCCCCTTGAGACAAGAATGATGTTGCTGAGCCTAAAAGAAAAATAAAAAGAAGTATATAATTTAAAAATACATCACAAAAGCCTTTATGCAAGCATAACCTTAGCTTCCCTTTTTATTAGAAGGGCGCATTGAACAAATTTAGGGTTTGAGCTCACACACAGTGTAAATTAGCATTCCACATAGCTGAGGAATCCTTAACAATTCTGCACTATCAGCAAAAACAAATGGCAACAACGCCTCTAAACCCAAAAATTACAGAAACTAATTAAAATTATTAGAATGTAGTAGACCTGAGCATTAAGCAGAAGGGTGTCTCCAATGACTGTCAATATAGTGAACTGACCACTGGTATTCTATTATTGCCAATAAATCACTGAAAGGAGAAATAAACTTTAATTTGAATATTTCATACCTTCTGGTCCTCCAACATATATGTTGATAAGTGGATGGGGAAATCTCTGTGGAGCTGGCATGCCTAAGGAAGGAAATCACACATACATGTAGATACAAGGATATCTTCATCTCAATTTAACCTATTGACGTCCAGTGCGCCCATATGCGCCCATGGGGACCCACACCCTTTCTACGCCTTGTGACGTCATCACTTTTAACCCTGGAGCATGAATTTGAGCACGTACTTGAACAGGTTGAAAATATCTTACAGACGATACCAGAATGAGCGCAATTGAGTGAAGGAGATTGGAGAAATAGCCAAAAAACCATGTCACTTTGACCTGAAAATCTGCACGAAAATCGTGTTTCATTACCCACCTACCTTTCCGAGCATGTGCTTTGAAAATAATGAGTAGTTTCTGAAAAATCTCTACACCAAAATGAAGCCTACTCAATTTCCAGCAAGTGAGGAGAAACTTCAGGCAAGGAGAGGGGAAAAAAAGGGCAGGAGAAAGAGAGAAAAGTAAAAGTCGTAAGTGGGGCATGACTTTTCAACCCAAAAACTATGTCGAAATTTTGCTTTCTGCGCATGCCCGAGATTTTCAGGCCGCCATTTTGCATTTGGATCAAAAGGCCGTCGAGTGCACGAGCTGTCTAGGGGTTTTTGGTAACTTTGAGCTTTTAAAACCACAACAGTGACCCGAAATCTACTCGACTAGCTTCAAAACACAGTTTTCCACAAAAGCTGTGGCCATTAATGGGTTAATGGTAATGCAAACTACAGTTTTCATTCATTTAGACAATCAAAAAGAAAAATAATAATTACTTAAGAAAGAAGCTATTCATTTGGCATGAGCATGGGAAGAAGAAAAATCTCAGTCCTTTTGAGTTCTTGTGGGTGTGGGGTTCAATCCTTCTAAACAAACTCTCCATGTTGGGATTTTTCAGTGAAAAGCTCTATCAAGGAGTTAACATATCTAAACATATTCAGAAATGTTAAGGTTCAAAAGTTTTCTTTACAAGTAAATAACGAAATGAAAAGTCTTTACCTCTCCCATATCGCACTGGAACGTGTGGAAGAACAGGTGCAAACCCTCTGCCCACAGGAACAGGCTGAACCATCCCTGCTGGACGTGGAGGCCCAGTATAATGAGGTGTCCTAATCATTTGAGGGGGCTGTGGTGCCAATACAAGCCTGTTGGGCATTGTTGGGTATGAAATGGGTGCCGCTGATTGCCGTGCTACAGAAACATTTTGGAGTAAAGGTTGCCTTGGTCTTGGAGTGTTAGATATGGTGGGAATTGTCCTGACATCTTGTTTAGTAGCTGAGGAAGGGGGTACAGGTATAGGTGGAACTGGAAGGGGTTGAGCAGGCTGTGAAACAGTAGGAACTGAAGTGGTGCTTGCAGTTGTCTGCTCATTGGGTCTCGGCTTAGTGTGAAGAAACGGACAGAATGGCTTCAGGCAACCACTTGGTTGTGACTCCCAGTAACATTGGGTACGAGACCTGCGCTCCTGTTGATGGAAAGAAATTTACTTGGTTATGGCGAATAAGTGAAGGAGGCCATTTCATAACAAATACTTATTGATAACTGTTGGGAGTTTGGCAGTTATCAAAAGGCCAAGAAAATGCTGCCAAACCGAACTGGCAAGTTATTGAATTTGGTACTTTAAGGTAAATAGTAGTTGCCTTCTCAACATTTAGTCTGACTAAACACTAATTTTTTCCTCCTGCCACACTGTTATCCTGCTTAATACAGCAAAATATAGACAAAACAAGAAATATCAAACTACTAAATAATAGTACAGATTTACACATAGCTGTAGAGGTACCGGTAAGCTGTGACAAAAAACAAACTGCTTTTTACATCATGCAAAGAAAACAAATTTCATGTAGAAGCTTAAATAACAAACAATTCATGCTACAATATTCTATGTGTACCTCAATCAACATATGCCTGAATCGACAGACTGGCTTCAAACATCTTCTACTTTTTTCCCATTCTTCACAAACTACTTCACATCCCAGTGCTTCTGGTTGATGTCGAAATGGACACTCCTCTCCCTGGAAAAATATTGTACTTCATTTAAAGCAGATAAAAGAAATAGCTCTTGGAAAATCTGTCAGAGGTCAGCTGGAATTGCCTCTAGATGGTCCTGCGTTCAACTTGCCACCCTCTGGTTTGCTTCCTGCCAGCTGAGGTATTAAATTATGTTACATTCTATGGTTATTTGAGTTGCATACCTGTAATACAGGTGCTCAATGTACATGTACATGTTGTAACTACATGCACATTCACCATGAACACAGCATTAGTGTATTTTATAGTTCACATTACCCCAGTACAATACCACTGCCCTCCCTTTGATTATTAAAAATGCTGTGTGTAATCCAAGGCATTAAAAATCAAAGCACAAGCATTATCAAGGAAGGTGTAATATTCCAATTATTTTTTGTTCACTGCTTGTACATACCTTTACACAAGTAGAGTAGTAATAGAAATAACAATCATCCCCTTGAGAGGCCATCACTGAAGGTCACTTGCTTTTAGAAGACAAGAAAAAATATGGTTATACACCAACTTTTTATTCTTATTGGGAAAATGTCTCAAGAGCAGCTCACTGACTACAGTCAGTGGTAAGTTTATCCACTTTAGAACTCATAAAGTTTTTTGTTTAAGCAGCTGTAAACTTTTAGATTGTCAGCTGTCTGTTTTAGAACCAAAGGACAAACATGCCACAAAGTTATATCCAGTTACAGGCTTTGATGAGCAAACTCATTGCAAATGAGCCACAGTCCAGATTTTGTAATAAACTCGCAGTTGGTGTCCTTCTAAGTCAAGGCTGCACAATTCACATTAAACATCACAACTTCTAGAATATGTAACTCTTACTAACCAAGTTTGGAGTCCCTACTGGCATTCATGACTCACATGTGTGTGCTTGGGCCATAAAGCCAAGCAGGAAAAAAACAAGGTTCCGTACCTTCTAGCATAGTCCTCCAATTTGGTTAGTAAGAGGTTTTTATTTCATCTCTGGGTTCAAAGAGAGGGGGGACATTTCACTTCAAACAAATTTTGAATTTAGAGGGCCAAAGACTGAAATGAGGCTGACTGAATAGACCAAAATTAGACCCTATCATAGCACACATACCAACTCATTGAGAGTTATTAATTTTGATTACTGAATAAAAAGTACACTGCAACCATGTAACTACAACTATATGTTTCAATTATTTTGTACAGGGGTAACAATGCTCGAAACAATCTGTTTCCTTAATTTATTTGCTTCAGGTAAATAGATCAAGATCAGGAATTTCAGCTAAATCCATTTAACTTGACTGATGAAAAGTGCAATACGTAATAGAAAAAAAAAAAAAGAACATTCTTACCAGTCTGTTCTACTCTCTTGTGAAGATTGAAGATTCCAAATGCAGTGACCAAAGTTAATCACAGTGAACACTCCAATCTAATGCAGCTAGGACAATGAATAGTTAACTCCCTTTCAACAACAATGGTCAGAGACTGAACATTACACATTTGATAGGCTACAAGCCAATTAAACTTGACCCGAGCTCTAATGATGACCTCCAATTAACGCCACAGGGATGATCCTTTGTTATGGTAATGCTGACTTTTCTCACCACCACATTGTCACAGAATAAACAGATCTTGAAATGTCCTATGTGTGTGGATCTTCTGCACTTCTTCAGTTTAGTCACAAGTCTTTAACAAGCCCCTGGCTAACAAAACATAAGGCGATGGGAACACATTCCTCTGATTTATCCTCCCTTGAAGTAGCACTGACTCCCAGATGAACATCACTTGGAGACAGGTCCACGATTCAAATTTCCGATCATAGTATGAAACTGTCTTTCATTACAAGTCCAACAAAATTGATCTATCAAAGGCTTCTTTCCCTCTAACACAGAGTTTAAGACAACTCTTTTCTTTTCCCTTTTTTTTTAACAAGTAAAAAATAAGTTGGAAATACAATACCTCCCTACCCCCCTCTCCCCCCATCAAAATAATATTGATCAAAACATTAATTTTGTTTCTGTGCAATCATTCACCATCCATTCGAATAAAAAAAGGGTAAAAAGCTGAAGCAAAATGTGTTGAGTGACTAAAGCATTTCACATCTAAACTAACTTTCGTTTCACAATTCATGCTTTCTATTTAAAACAATACATTTGCTGTTATGTTTGCTTCATACCCTTCATTATATCATGATATTATTTTTTCATTTTGTCATGTACATGTAGTAAGTGTCATTAATGTCAGTAAATGTTTGTCTTGTCACATTTTTCAGTTTTAAAGTTGTGCTTTAAATAGAATGTAATATAACTTTCAAAGCACGCAAATAAAAGTAATTAGGTATTGCTGCCCTCTCATCTTCAATTAAATTTTAAATTAAGCATTTACTGTATCAAATGAAAAGTATGAAAATTTAGGAATATCACATGTAAGATGTCACTGTATATTCCTCGGTTTAACAGGGGCATATTCAATCAAGTGATGCATTTAGGGCAATCGTGCATGAGCAAACATTTCTGGTGGATTACAATGATTAATATTCTCATATTTCCCCCAAACAAGAACATAGATATGTGCAAAAGAATTAGTGACAAATACACAACTGTTTCCTGACAACATGGATACACTTAGACAATCATAACATTACTTTTAAAAGACTGTTAGTTGTAAGGGGTGGAATCCCTCAGTCCCTTGACAGTAATTGTGTTGTAATCATGGTTTTAATCCATAATCCACTGATCTAATACTTACTGTAGATAAAAATGAATTTTCCAAGTACTACTCAGAATTAACACTTTCATGCCCAAATTGTTAATGAACATGATAGTGCCTAGAATTTTGTTATTTCTGGAACTGTTGGATGAGAGAGAAACTACTCAGCAAACAAATCTCACTTTTAACTATTTTAAAGCTAACTGCTGAGCTATTCAGGGCAATTAAATTCAAGCACAACAAGGGATTGTCACATTACCCAAATACACCAAGTCACTGCTTGCAGAAAAATCCATAACAACAACAAAACAAAAGCAACAACAACAAAAAATCACACCACAAACTAGATCCAGTATCATTACACAGACAATTTAGCAAACATAAGCTAAACACCTGCCACATATTTTTACGGTAAAATGAATATTTAGGCCACTTCATCTTTCACATACTTTAGAAATTTGATCAACAGTGTAATTGATAATTAGATATTCACCCTTTGATTGCTCCTATGACCCCGTACCAATCATGGGTCAAGTCACAAAGGTCTCAAACCAGATCTTACACCTATTTATCTAATTAAAGAAATCATCTCCAGAATACAGATTTACACAAATGGATTCTTGGTGACGACGTGATTGGACTTCCCCCATATCATTCGTAAGCGTGTAAGTCTCGTTTTGGGTTGTCAGTCGAAGTTCTACAATCAACATGGTACTCCACGAACGAAGTAACCACATCTGCAGTAAGGCGGTACACAATAAAGCCAAAAGAAACGAAAGAACAGCAGCGACAAACTGACCACCTTCATGTTAAAAGACTAGCTGTACAAAAGGAATCTTCGATTGATTGCTCTCTAAAGTTTAGGTAAAGATTCACAACTTGCGTTCGCTAAGGCTAAACTCAGTTACTTTTTGGCGCACCTCACAAAATGCATACCACAACCTATATATATAAATTGGCATTTCAACCCCGATTTATCCCTCATTCATAAAATATGAAAATAAAAAGAGAGCAACTCGTTTGGGAAGCAAGATCGACAACAATTCACCTATTGCTATGGACAGACGCAGACAACTCAAATAGCCCTTGAAAACCGCAAACAACCACCAAAACTGCTTTGAAATTTTGTAGCCTTCCGTCGAAACTGAAACGTCGGTTATTTGAACGCGGGATGCTGAAAAAGGCTTGCTCGATCAACCTTCTTTCACCGCACGCTTCCACTATAAAATGGCGGCACACTTAGCTCTGTCAGCTGACCGGGGTGGGGAGGTTACTGCATTGCGGCGAGGCTGACTTTTGCGATTCATAAGGTAGGGGGGAGGGGTAAAAAAAGTCTACTTGATTATTATCCCAACATCTCAGAGGTCTGAAGACAAAAAATTCATTGTTTTTTAATTTATGTAGAAGGAAAAAATAAAAAATATTGTTCCCCTATGTTGCATAGATTTCAAGTATGCAAATATCAAATAATTCTACTGAGCAAAAATAAGTAGTATTTCACACTCCCCTCCCTTGGCAAGAATTTCATCGTAGCGTTTTCTTTTTCCTCGTTTGGTCTTAAGACTCGAGATCTCACAAGACCTTTCACTGTCCACTTCCAAGTGTAACTTTACAGGATACGCCATGGCAGGACCCTCTCCAAAACTTGAGGCAATTTTCAAGTAAGTTTGGATGACTTTCTGTAACTAATACTCTTAAGGAAGACGGTAATTTTATTCAAACGTAAATGGCATATTTCTTGACTTTATACTGATCGAATGTTGTTTAATTTTCTTCCAAATACTGTACAGGTACGTCGACGAGCATCAGGTAAGCGATCAAGCTTTTTCATTTTGCATTTTAAACCTCTTGTTCCAAAAATTAGTCTTTGAAATGGCGTTAGAAGTCTGAAATTGTGCAAGAAAGGTGGCATTTCTGGTAGTCATGTCCCCTAAATCACTGATGGATTTTTTCGATATTTTAACATTTGTCGCTGAAGGAAGACCACCGATTATTTGTGGGGGGCGGAAACAAGAGATTAAAGTTCTGTAACAGACTGACATAAAGCCGCTATGTCCCTGCGTTAGGGTACTTTGACCCTGAACTCTAAAGTACTGTTTATATCCTAATCAATCAGTGAAGGCAACTTGATGCTACATCCAAATATTAGTTCATCAGTCAGCGTGCGTTCATCGAGAATTGAAGCAGGGGTGAAGTTCGGAGAGCACGAAAGAGTTGTTCGAGGCTGCGCCTCGAGCAACTCTAGCTTCTTGGGTGCTCTCCAAACTTCCCAAGTACTTCAATTCTCGATGAACGCACAGCTGACACATGAACCAGTTGTTTTATAACATTTTCAATGCTGTAAGTTTATGTTTAAAGGGCAAAAATTTCTTCTTCTACGCTTCAATGCGTTGTTTATTTTCTTTCGGAAAAGTATATTCGCTATGCTTCAACGATCTTGCCTTAGATTGGTCAAAAACTGACAAGTGAATTCATTGACGTCATCAGCTTGCACAATGGGAAATTACAAGCCTCTAGCTGATAGGTTTCTCTTATCTTGTCACCTGATGTTTAGTGGATGGCTTATGGTCAAGTCACCCGGAAGTCTTCTCGCCCAAAGTCTTGTCGCTTGGAAACCGAGTCATGTCACCCAAAATTTTGGTCATGTTGCTATTTAATTTAACAAAAGCATTAAACTAGCTAGAACTTTTCCTCAATAAACTTAGTCATAAAGTAGGGAGAAAATTTTGCAATGTGATCCTAAAGTGAACTAGGTTTTTTTGTCCTTATCTCGTTGAAATTTACCTTCTTTATATATATTTTAATAATTTGGATCAAAATACACATGGAAGTGCCAGAGGGAACAGAGCACAACTACTTAATTCGTACCAATTCTGATCCTAGGAGAGGTGATGCTATTGGTCAAAAGTCACAAGTAAAGACAATGGACTGTTGAGGGTTCCCAATAGGGTTCTTCAATCCCGCCATCCCAGCGGGAATTTTCTTTTAATCCCGAGATCCTGATGGTTTCTACCGGCAAATCCCGATCCTGGTTATATTTTCTTAATTCCTTTCCTCAGCAAAAATGATCCTTGAAGTTCCGTTTCAGATTCCCTCACAGCAGACCCAAGCACTGACTATTACTTTGAATTAGTTGTATCTCTCTGCACTAAAACAATGATTTAGTTCATTTGTTTTTCATGACTGGTTTTAAATGAGTTTCGTCAGTCAATGAGTCATTTTTATGGTTTTTATAACTCGTTTTTTTTGGTTTTTTTCTTTTTTTTTCTGTTTTGCCTCTTTTGTTTGACAACGCCTGCCTTCCAGATCACTTCGATCCCTGAAAAAAGTGTCTCTCAGAGATGATAGCAATCACTGAAGAGCATTAAGGGTACATATCATGACATACCACGGCAAATTCACTATTCACTACACATATTTCAAGTCACCATCAATCACAACTCAGAAGACAGTGTGCTCATTCACAATTTTTGGCCATGGCAACAATCATCTGGAAATTCCATAAAATCGAGTACAATTGTGCTCAACAGTTACTGAAACATATATTCTTTTCGACCCAAGTTTAACCAGTGCTACATGTTCCAGCTCAAAATGCTGTAATCAATGGTAATGAAAGCATATTATAAGAGCTTGAAATTAGAGCCTGTATGGATTTCAATTTTGAACAAAAATTATTTCTGTTTTCCTTTGAAAAGCAACAATAAAATTTGAACCTCTCTGAGTGGTTTCCTTTTTATGTCACCAAAACGCTACTGCAAGCCATTTAAGAGATTTTAAATAAATAAATAAATAAAATTGTGGATTTATATTGCGCCGTTTCCATGACGGGATGATCAACTGCGCATTACAACAATGCATGGAATAAATACTAATTACATCGTTACAACAATGCATGAAATAACTACTAATTACATCATTACAACAATGCTTTGTAATAGATGCCAGTTACATCACGTGTAGTATAAAATATTAAAAGCTAAACTAACTAAGAATAAAAAGCCTTACTAAAAAAATGTGTCTAAAAGTTTTTTAAAAGTGTCGACAGATTTAGCCATTCTAATTTCCGATTTTGACACGTATAAAGAGTACGCATCACTGTATTGTAGCTTTCAAAGGAAAAACAGAATAGTTTGAATTTTAAATTCATACAAACTCTTATAGTACGCTTTGGTCACCTACGGCTAAATTAATGCGAAATGTTTATTTGATGATTGCTATCATCTAGGAGCTTCTTTAGCAATCTGCTGCAATTAAACTATAATTCCACTATTGAAGTGAACAGTTCTTCCAAAATGTGAAACCGTTCCAAGCACAAAAGTTTCCTTGTGATCCAACAACAGAATTCCACCAACATCATCATCAGCCTTGTCGTTATCAGTAGACTCGTCATCCAAATCATTGCTACTGCTTGAATCGTACTCCAGTATGCCGTCTTTCTTGTGTTCTTCTCCAGCTTCGTTTCCCTGTTGTTCCCCGAAGTGTTCAAGGGAGACTGACTCACCCAGTAGCACCTATCTCTGGTAGAGGTAGGAAGGCAGGGTTCCGGCTCTTGCCATTGTTGTCTCTTGTCTCACAGAGTGCTGACGCACTGCAGCACCAAAGGTTTGTGCCCAGTCCCTCATAACTTGTACACACTGTGGTGTCATTGGTACAGCTGGCAAGGGTTGTGTAACAGGTATGGCCGACAGAAACACCGCACGTTCGGGGACAGGATACCAAGACTTTGGATTTGTAAAATAGATTGCCGCCCAATGGGTCGTTCTCTTGATACCTCCTTTGGCTCCATTTCCAAAGTTTCTTGCATGCAACACTGTGCAAAGTGGATCTCTATGATGCACAACAGAGTGAATATTCTCCACATCCAGTGTCATGCAACTTTAAGTTAATAAATGAAGGGCATGGTATCCTTGTAATTCTTGCTGAAGCTTTTCAAGGCCACATTTTAACATTTGAACGGACTCAACAGTCTTTTACGCCACATTACCCTGAGGACCATTGAGGTTTCTTGGTAAATTGGCCACCTCATCTCTGATCGAGTTCTCGTTACTACGCAAGACCCGAAGAGTACCACTAACGAGCTCAACTGCTTCTTGGATGCTAGTGGCGCTGTAAGACTGGTGCTTTTTTATATTAATAGACTGGTGCTTACTGATATTAATAGACCATAGAAAAGAGTCAATTTTCACTGTTGAAGTTCTTGCTATTCATTGTCTTCATTTGCAATGTAATAGTTCCAAAAGTGTAAATTAGTAAAGGTGAGAAACAGAACTTGCCTAACTGTTTCTCTGATGGACTTTAATGTCTTCACCTTCCGTGGAAGTTGAGCCAAAAATTTCTCTTGATGAAGAAACGAATTTCCGCTCTTCCCCGTCTCATAAAACAAAGCTACACAGCTAATAACATCAACAACATCATTCTCAAAGTTAACAGACATCGCTAGGGTGCATTAAACGACTCAAATGATAACTTAGCTAGTCTCCCTCACATCGAATATCCCACGCACACCAATCAGGATCTGTATAAACTTGACACTAGAAATATCACGGTCAACAAATAACAAAGGTCACAAAGACAGTGTCAAATTGGATTCTTCATTACGGCTAAGGTGTCCAAGGTTCACGAAAATAGACCACAGATCACCATAGAGGTCACTGAGCAGCGTTATAGGGTCATGGAAAATGTGGATGTCAAGTAGGTCATTGTTCAGCTATTTCCAACCATTTCCGACATTAATAAGATGAGCTAGCTAAGATGACAGCTTGCATATTTCAGACTTGGGAATTCTTGAATCTCAATTTCTTTAAAGCGGCATTTCCTGATTCCCGCCTGTTAAAATCGCCAAATCCTGTGTCCCGGTCATAAATACAATCCCGAATCTTTTCCCCCTTTTCCTTCAAAATCTTGAACCCCGGCCTTCAAATAAGCCAAATCCCGGATCCCGAAAAACCTATTGGGGACCCTCACTGTTATCTGAATAATACCACATTTTTCTTACACAAGGCAACAAGTTATTTGTTCTTGTTAAGAAGTTCACAAAAAGACACACAACTTTATTTGCATGCAACTTGCCTGACTTTTTACTAACTCTTTGTATGCAACAATTGACATCTGTTTACCAGGGTTTTTTTCATTTGTTAAGGTTAAGAGGGTCACAAATGGACACATCAGAACTTTATTTGTGTATTACTCGCTTTGCTTTTTACTAACTTGTGTTGTATGACAATCATCATGTGAAAAGGGAATTAAAAAACTGCTTTATTGTGGATCCTTTAACAATCTGCAAAAGAGGACACTTCTCTATTAGTTTGCAAAAGTTTTCGGAACACTACATGGATGAAGGGCTTTAAAACATGAACTCAACATGGTAAATATGATATCTGCCACAGATATTGCATTAATCATGTCAGCTTCACAAGCTGTTGTTTGTTGAGTGAATGCTCTCGACCAATCGGATTTTTTCTTACTAGTTAGTCTAATGTATAATAATTTGTTTTGTAGGAACTTTATGTGAAAAGGCTCAGTGATGCTGTTGCAATTCAAAGTGTCTCAGGATGGACAGATCCTCCATACAGAGACAACATTGTCAAGATGATCAACCAAGTAAAAGATGTATGTGCAAAGTGTAGTTTTTTGTTATGTCATTTGACCAGCCCCCTGCTGGTCTTTGTTTAAAACATTTTCAGAACATCCCTAGATGAGGGTTGTAGGTGATGGCATGAGCTGGGCTGGAAAAAGGCCATCTGACCATGTTAGATGTGAGCTGAACAAAATAGCCAAGAAAGGGGAAGTATGGTGGTCGTCTGTTAAAATCATAAAATGTTTATGATTGAGTTAGGTTGGGCAGGAGAGGAAGATACATTTTGCTCTTGGCTCTTTTGAAAGTAAATGCACATAGATTGAGAAAAAATTTAAGCTGCTGTTGTGTAGGTTGTCAGTAATCTCAGGATTGCTGTGGATACAAGAATTTTTTACGCTTATCTTCCCATTAACGCACACCACACAAAAAATTGAATCATTTCAGTTTTTTAATGACCATCTCTTCTATTGACATGCACGTTTTGCAGTGTAGGTGATTATATCATCAATTGCATCACCTAGCTTAATATCTCAAAGTTCACTTTTCAGTGTGAAGGTCATGCAATGTGTTTTCCAACAAGAGTAATGCTGCACAATTTTTTATTCAACAGAAAGTGATCAGTCTTGGAGGTGAGGTTGAGTTAGCCGACCTTGGCATGCAGCACGGTGCTGGTATTCCACTGCCACCAGTACTCTTGGGAATACTTGGAAAGGATCCTGCCAAGAAAACTGTGAGTCAATGATCTCATTCATCAGTCTTCATCGTTCAACTGTCATTTTGAAGTGGAAATTTAAGTTTGGTGTTTTTCTGTCTGAGAACTTTACCAAGATAAAGTTTTAGTTTCATTACCTGTAGTTTTTTTACCTCAAATCCTTTATTTTTAATTCAGTTCATGTATTAAAAATAGAGTATACTCTGTATATTGTTCCATTAGCTTTTTAACCCTTGTAGGATGTTTGAAATCTAAAAGAAATGCAGTCAATTGCTAGTGTAATATTAAACAACATGATTTTACTGGTAAAAAAAGTACAGGTTTTGAATCACATAGAGCATGCTTTGTTTCTGCTCTACAGTGTAGCACTTAGAAGAATGAAATAGTGGTACATGTTTTTTTTATCAATTATTTATATTGCATTTTCCTCATGCAGCTCTGTGTTTATGGACATCTTGATGTTCAACCAGCAAAAGTGGTGAGTACTTTGTAGTGTCAGGAATTTTTGGGTCGATGGATATGATTAAATTGAATTTTATTTGAAGTCAGGTACTTGACATGTGTGTGAGATCGATGGCCTTATTGAATTGAACTCTGAGGCCAGAGGTCTGGTTTTATCATGTATCTGCATCATTGCTATGAGTTGTTGGCCAGTTATTCTGGATAGCACATATTTTTAGCTTTTCCATTGATATATAGTATACTGTGGTTAGGCTTCAGATAGCTCGGTGACAATTTTTTTTGTGAAGGACACCCACAAAGGTCTTCCATGTCCTGAAGATGAAATTGGGGGGAGGGGGGGGGGTCTGTGTCTTGCTTTGGGTGTTGGCCATAGTGGAGGTTAAAAGAAAAAAAGAGAGAAGGGACAACAGTACTGAATTGTAACCCTTGTAACCCCAACCACTTAGTCCCACTTCGGCATATGATGTGCAAGAGAGCTTAAGTGCTGAAGAAGAATGAGGGGATATCATGTGGAATGCTGACATATTTGATCTGCAAATTCATTGATCTCTGAGAGTTAAGAGTATTAAATTTCTCCTTACAATATCACCCTTTATTACACGACTCGGGCAGTCAGAGGGCCAATAACTAAAATCAACCAATCAAAATGCTCTATTGCCTGTCAATATTCTCTCAGTTTTGGACTGGGCACTGTCCCGAGTGGTCCCGAATGATACCGTACTTGTGTCCCTTTGAACTTCAGTCATATAATAAATCTCTTATTAACCAAGCTTGCTTGGGACCATACTGGAAGAATATCGGCCCTCTGTCTTTTTTGTATGGACCTCGCTGCGTTCAGTCCGTACTGTCAAGACCTTGGGCCGATATTCTCCCAGTACGGCCCTTGCGCTTGGTTAATAAGATATAAGAACAAAACACAATTTAAACTAAAGGTAACTAAAGTTCTTATTTGTGATACAAATTCTCTTTGTGAGTGCGCAAAGAAGAGAATATGCATACTGATGTCAGGGTGTTTGGGGTTAAGCTTCTTCACTTCAGCCTAAGATGGAGCAAATTTAGTTGAGAAGATGCACAAGAAGCAATGTAGAACTGGCACCCAACAAACAACCAATTATGTCTCCACATTACTCATATCTTCTAGAAAAGAAATATTAACCATTATGAATTATAAATTTCTAGGAAGATGGATGGGACACAGATCCTTTTACATTGACAGAAATCGACGGGAAGCTTTATGGTCGTGGATCCACTGATGATAAGGTAAAAAGATAAGAAAAGCACAGATACAGGGGCAGATCCTAGAAGCACTGAGGGGAGGGAAGGTAGGGGTGGAATGGGTAGAGGGGGATTGAAACCTTGATTCAGCAAACAGAGACATTTTCACTATAGTCTATAAAAGCTGAGAAATATTTTAAGACAATATTTAATGGTAACATGTGATCCTGTTGTTGCCAAACTTTTGGTATAAGACAAGAGATAAAAAAAGGACCTACAGGTCTGACGGGAGAAAGCTGTAGACTTTCTTACAGGATCAGTCACTTCCTCTTTTTCCTGCTTTTTAATTTCTGTTTTTTTTTTTTTCATCTATTCAAGAAAATGATTTGAGCTAGCTTGCTGTTGCTAAATAATAATTATTATTTAATATTATTATTATTTAATATTATTACTTATTATTATTTACAATTATTTAAGTTAATTCTCCTTTTAACGGTATTTTTAGGGTCCAGTGCTAGCATGGCTGAATGCTATTGAAGCATACCAGAATACTGGTAATGAGTTGCCAGTCAATCTAAGGGTAAGTGTCAGTTTTTGGAAAGACTGTTGAAAGGGTAACTTGAAAGTAGCATATTGTTAGCTTAGAAGTAATACAAAAATTGCCATTAAATATGGTTATTTTTTAAGCTATGTTTAATATACTTAGTAATTTCTGTGACTGAGTATATAATGGTTTAAAAACAGCTGGCAACCAGCAAAATTTGCCATTTATGTGAAGCAAAATTAATGCCTATTTTTTCTGAAATGAAGAGAATTTTTTGCTACAAATAATAAATTACAATTATGATAACCATGCAAATTGTTCAACATGTTAACTGCCTTTATTTCTTTTTCCTACTAGTTTGTATTTGAGGGAATGGAAGAATCTGGCAGTGAGGGTCTGGATGAGCTGATCTTCGAAAGGAAGGATACCTTCTTCAAGGTTTGATTAACATGATTATTATACTGCACATTTAGGGGATAAAGGTATTGAAAGGCTTGGGCCAATAAAAGCTTCAAGAAGGATTTTTACACTCATGAGGCCTTTTAAATTGCTAGTGCTCAAAAGTTAACACCTTTTGTGATGTGAACTTTTTTATTTCTAGACACTGAAGGTTAGTGTCTTTGAAGGCTGAGTTTCCCAAGACCTGTCCCCAGAAAATACCAAAAAATTATGGGCCAGAGTTGTGACAGTGTGTTTAGTTGTGACCTGGATCCTGTTAGTTAAATTTTCAACTTAGTCAGATATAGTTTTTGTTGAAAATGATATAAATACCCTAAGCTGATTTTTAACCATTAGATAAGACTGAATACTTTGCAAGTGTCATACATTAGCTTTCCAGTAGCAGTCCAAAGGTTAGTCACTGTTTCAGACATCAGACCTCATGGGACTACCCAAACCCAGATAACCACCTGACATGATCAACAGTTTTACATATTAAGTTATTTATTTAAAATTAAGACTAAATCAAATTTTAATTTACATTATTCTGTAGCCTGTTGATTATGTTTGCATATCTGACAACTACTGGTTGGGTAAAAGGAAGCCATGTATCACATATGGATTGAGGTAAAGGGAAATATATGATTTAACACTTGGTTCATGCTTTACTCATTGAGAAGTGGAACATGCAGTAATATAAGTTCATGATCATAGAGCCTGAAAGATGCGTTAGAGTGTCTCGTGCAACTTTAACTTCTTCAGTGCTCTCCAAACTTCCATGTACTGAATGCTTGGCTGAATGCACCTTTTACACATGACCAATTGTTCAGCAAAATGTTTAGAACAGTTATGTTTCTAATGGATAAAGAAAAGTTCCCTCTTCCTGCTGCAGTTCATATGCTCTTGTCATTAGTGTGCACAATGGGAATATGAAGGGCAGTTGATCAACTGAGACAAATTATTATACTTCTCCTTTGAAAGTCTAATTCAAGTTTGAAGCTGTCCTTTTTTTCTTATAGTTTTTTTTTTCTTTGATTTCCTTTACAGAGGCATCTGTTACTTTTTTTTGGAGGTCAATTGTGCAAGGAAAGACTTGCATTCTGGAGTCTTTGGTGGGACAGTGTGAGTAAAAGGCTATCTTTTTCAGTAGCTTGCTTGGAAATTGTTTTCTCTTGAACACTAATAATCTTATTTTTAGAGTTTCCATAATTTTTTTTGAAAAAAAGAAAACATCGAAATATCTCATTTTTCAAAATAGTTTAGGAATTGACTGATCTAATTGGATAGTTTTTAATAAGTGATGGACTGGTCTGGCTTAGGCAGCAGAGTAGGCGCCTTGTAAGGACGAATTAAGGTTAAGAAGCTAGCCCTCGTTTATCCAACCGGCCATGTTTGACTTAAAGATGGAGGAGATAGAGTGGTACGAATTTATTTCTCTCCCCAGCCTTCCACTGCCATTAAAATCAAAGATGGCGGCCATAATTTTCGCTAAGAAAATACTAAGCACTTGATCCCCAAAATTACGTCTGCTCTGCAGGCCAGGTCTGGCTTGTCAGTTCACTCTTAAATGATCTTAAAATGCAAGGATCTTGAACATGTAGGACTATGAAGGATCCCTGACGAATGGTAATCTTTGTAAACTGCTAAAAAGTGTCATGCCTGCAAATTTTTAGCACTGATTTGACCCTAGATAATGAAAATGATCAAGAATCAAATTCCGAAGACATTGCAAAGTAGTGGAATGTTTACTCATGTTTTACCCACTTTTGCTGGGACCAAATTCCAACGCCTACGCCAACCTAAATAGAGCTCTTTTCGATTAAGTGCCACAAACCAAAACCAAAGCAATCACATAATCCATTCAGAACACAGGGAAAAAAAAACTCAAGGAGCCAATGAGAACGCAAAGTAAAAACAAGTTACCTGCCGAAGTGCAGGAAAACGCGGGGTCGCAATTGGTTTTAGTTTTGAATTGAATCGTTTCAGATCTAGCCTGTGTACAGCCGCCCCCATCCCCGAGTTTTTTGAGGGGATGGGGCGGCTGTACACAGACTATTTCAGAGCAGAACCAAAGCAATATTGGTGGGGGGAGGGAGGGGGTGAGTTTCTAGAGAAACTGGTGCGGCGTCGATGGGGGAGTATAACAATATAATCTGGTCTTATCAAATGAGTCAATAATGTCAATATGCCATCGTAAAGAGTTTCTAAGCTGGCGTTTCAAGCATTAGTCCTTCGTCAGAACGAATGACTAAGAGCTAACGGTTGGAACGACAGCTTGGAAATTCTTTACGGTGGCCAATGTACATTATGAACTCAGTTCATGAAAGCAAATTATCTTGTGAAAGCAGTATCGGTTGAATTATTTTTGACGCTCGATTGAAAATTGCCCTCTTAACACCATGCCAATATTGGTTATTTTTCCTCTCTCTACACTACACTACACTTTATTATTACGGCTCCCTAATACGAGGCTATTCTGTCGTAATATACGATGATATATACAATACTAAATTACAATGGGTAAAAGAATATTTACATGTGTTGCGAAAACAATTAAAAAATTGAAATGAAAAAAAAAATGATGATTAGCATAAGTTCATATAAAGAAGAGTTTCTAATAAAATGGGCCACTTTCCTTTTAAATCTTGAAATATCGTTTTTGCTTCGAATGTTTTCTGGAAGAACGTTATATTCTTTTTTCTCTCACACAGACACGAGGCAATGACTGATCTTATTTACCTCCTGGGCCAACTGGTGGACCTAAAGGGGAACATTTTGATCCCTGGGATCAACGACAAAGTCTTGCCCTTAACTGATGACGAAAGAGCAACTTACACAGATATTGACTTTGACAAGGTCAGTCAGCAGCAAAGCCGACAGATTTATTTCATCACCAGCGTTTCTTTGCCCGTGAGAAGTTACCAAGCCCTGAGCAACGCGAAGCGGCGAGAAGTCTTCCAGGGGACTAGCACTGATACTGGAGTACCAGATCAGGGTCCTAGCAAACCTCTCCTTGACTCGTTTCAAATCTACCGCGGGCGGAGAAACGCACGTCTTGCAACGTTAATAACGAGGGCCTTCATGGGTTTTCATTAACACTAAAATTCCTTAAAATTTTGTAACCTTTATTTCCTTATCTGTCTTTTTTTTTTCCCTAGGAGGAGTACCGCCAGGACCTTGGTCACAACAAACTTATCCATGACACCAAAGAGGAAGTTTTGATGCATCGTTGGCGATACCCTTCCCTTTCTATTCACGGTATAGATCGAGTGCTTATTTTACATCAAGTTTTTTTAGAATAGAACACTGAGGAAAGAGGGGAGGGGGGTAAAAATTAAAAAATTGGCCACTGTAAGAGTCTTTAGCTGACGAAGGGCTAACGCTCGAAATGTCAGCTATGAAACTCTTTACGGTGGCCGATTTACGTTATCAACTCAGTTGATAAAACCAAATTACCTTAAGAGAGAACATTGTCTTGAAACCTGCGCGGCTCGCCATGACTCCTACTTGCTTCCAGTTCCAATCAAAAAGTGCTGCTACGATTAAAATTGTTCGTCCTTCTCGAGCGAAGACGACCATGACTTCGGAGAAAAAAAAGATTAGTGGTTGTTTTGATTGTGAAAATGGCCATACAGTCCAATCCTCGTTCTGAACTGTTTATTGCAATGTGGACACGGGATTGCCTTAGGTGAGCCAGGCTGAGAGCTGGCGCTGGCACTTGCTCTGCTTTTCCGCTGCGGTCGTTTCTGGATCTGGTTCTCCGGCCATACGTGTCGACTCATACGCTGCAACACCGGGGTGGGAGATGGGAGCGGTCTTGTGCAGCTGCTTCCGAGGAGGTCGAGACTGATGCTATAGGATTTGAGAGAGGCCTTCAGCCAAACGTGGTCTGAAGGCTGCTGAAGGCCTTTGCTCCGTACGGTTGTTCTGGCGTCTAGAATGAAATACACTTTAGGTTTCCAAATACGTCTCAATCTTGTTCAAATTCTGTTACGCCAAAAGACTTCTTCAGGCCTGCCGACATTCCACCGTATCTATAACTATTCTTAAGCGCTTGCAAATACTAATTTCCACAAGGAAAAGTTTCTTCCACTCGCGCGCTTACTCGCCCGCGTTGATGCAATGCAAGTTATTTAACGTGGTCAGGTTGATTAAACGTAAATTGCAGAGTTGAGTTTGTCCGTACCAATAAAGGTTTGGATCAAGTGGTCTGAATCTGCCCTCCATGTTACCTTGCGTTGGTGAGCTTACTTTAATTTCCCTCTAAATAATTTCAGGCATTGAAGGAGCCTTTTACGAGCCTGGTTCGAAGACAGTTATTCCCCGAAAGGTATGTAACTTTGAAATCGTTTGTTTTGTGGAACTGAAAATTCACAGAATTTGTACTGCCAAATAGCTAACTGAATGACATTATCGGGTGGTGAAATCATATGTTTCTACTGGAAAGCAAAGTTTTCATTGGCCTTTAACCCTTTCACTGTCAGGATCAAAATGTCAATTGTCTGCGCTATCTACCAAGTTATTCTTACAACTGAGAATTCGGTTTTGAATCAAACAATTTCCCCAAGTTGATTTTTTCGGCTTTCTTCTCAAAATTTTTTTCATTTCTTAAGGGGGAATTCTTATGTGCTCACTTTTGGGAGTGAAATGGGTTCAATTGCAACGGAGCTTTTTCAGACCATGACTGATGACAAGTCGGCGATACTGACGGGCTTTACTTACCATTTGTGACGTGGCTAAGTTGTCCTTTTTTTTATCGATATGATTGGCTTTGGTTTTCAGGTGATTGGCAAGTTCTCCATCCGTTTGGTGCCTGACATGACGCCACAAGAGGTGGACGAGACAGTGTGTAACTACATCAAGAATCTTCATGAGCAAAGAGGAAGTCCAAATACTATATCGTAAGTGAGCTAAATTATTCAATTATGATGACAGATTTTACTTTTCTCGGAGAATGCATGCTTCATTTAGTTTTAATAGATTTATCGARARKATAYGTTACACATATACAGAAATAAAAGAAATAATAAAAAAAAGGGCCAAATGGGATTGCGCGAAAGGAAACAAAATCCCATGCGAGGCGTAATCCGAAAGGGGACAACCTCGGAACCAGGAAAAGGTTCCACAGAAAAGAAGTGTCCCTTAAGTGAAGGTAGAGGTTACAATGGAACCTCCATTGAGAGGATACACTCAGGGCTTTAAGTTGGAGCATTCGTCTCCCACCGTTGTGGCCTAGGTTCGATTACTGGACTTGGCGTCACATGTGGGTTCAGTTTGTTGTTCGTTCTCGTCCTTGCTCCGAGGGTTTTTCTCTGAGTCCTCCGGTTTTTCTCCCTCCGCAATAATCAACTTTCCAATTTCCGATTCGACCTGGAAATAATGGACAAGAACAGCCCCCATTAGTTGTTTCCCCAATAGAAGTGTATTTTCAATTAGTGTAACTGATGTAAAAGTTACAAGAGCATTCTTGTAACTTTTATATCAGTGAACATTCTTTAGGACTCCCTTGGGAGCAAGGGAGTCCTAAAAGAGAGCTCCAACTGCAGTAGTAGATTTAGAGGTGGGGTACGGGGGGGCCGCGCCCCCCTTAATTTTGGGTTAAAAAAATTAAACGCAGTGGGAAGGAAAGCTGGCGCGGGTGAACACGCACAAACAAACCCCCCCACACACACACACACACACACGCACGCACACACACACACACACACACACACACACACCAACAAACAAATAAAACAAAACAAAAGAAAACAAAACAAACAGGAAGAAGGTAACTATCTGCGTAAATGANCTGTGAACCGTTCGTTGTTTAAAGAATAAATTTTAAAAAGTTTTGGAGCTCTCGCAGACCTTCTGGAGTTTCTCGTTCTATCATTGATCGGGTCGACAGAGTTGTAAAGACGTCCGCGTGACACATTTTCAGGGTCAGCGTTCATCATAGTGGTCCACCATGGGTCAGTGATATAAACCATGTCAATTATCAAGCGGCTAGAAGAGCCTTGAAAACTGGTAAGTAACACTATGGAGTTGTATGGACAATGGTCCAAAAAAATCGTGCCGCTCGGCACCTATCACATGTCAGTTTAAACCAATCGCAGTCCGTTCACAGCCTCGTTTTTCCCGCGCTTCGGGCAGTTTGCTTATTGTTATTCTGAGTCCTAACTGGCTCCATGTGAACGTTTCCTTTTCTTGTGGTTCGACTCTGTGATTCGTGTAGTTTTTTTTACGACATTTTATCAAAAAGTGCTTGATTTCCACTAGCGTTTTTCTATTCAACCAAATGGATACTTCAGTGTGGTTTTGCCAGGCGTAAAAATATCGCGGTGCAATCCTTCAAGAAACATGAATGATAATTTCTGTGAGGGCTAGCGATTGATCTCTCGCCTAAAGATGACATTTCCTGTAGGTACTCTTACTCTTTCTTCGTGTTTTTTTTTTTTAACAGTACATGGCGTTGATCCAGATTTGACTCGCGACGGATGTAGTATTCCTGTGACTTTGGCTCTACAGGACGCCCTACAAAAGAGCATAGTGCTTCTACCGATTGGCGCCTGTGATGATGGCGCGCACTCTCAGAACGAGAAAATAAACATCACCAAGTATGTCGAAGGAGTGAGTACCCGCTTTTTCTCTTTTACGAATAAACACTTTTTTTTTCTTCTGCAGTTGTCGAAAACAAGTTTGTAGGTCATTTTTTAGTCCAAAAAAACTTTCACTCTCAAATTGAGGCCGAATGAAAAACCTCGCTTGTGAAAAGGTGGTTTAATATTGGGCAAT